TCAACTCAATAAATATTGTTATTCTCTCAATCCAGATAAAATTTCGTGCAAAACACACGGTAAGAAACAAAAACAATAATAATGTTTCAATACAAAATTTATTTTTTTATTTTTACCATTTCATATGTTTCTGATCGACTTTTTGAATTTTTTCGAATACCATATACAATCCTTAAATGTATATCCACATACTCTCGAAAAATATAAATATACTCAAATATCAATTATCATTTTGACACATAATCACATATACACGAAAGATCATATATACACTCGGAATGTCATTTTTAAGATTTCATCGCACGATATTTATGTTATTATCGAGGAGAGATGAAATGGATCTCCCCATTGCATGGATAACACACACACACACACACAAATCTTACAATAGCCACAGTATGTACGTTTGTTAGGTGACCCACACTCACAAATATTTATCTACGTCTAGATTAGGTTTCAGACTCTATCCATGTGCAGGTTCACCATGTCCGCTGAACTTCAGCCACACACACACACATTTCCCTCCTCGATTCAGACTAAATGAAAGGCATTCAAGGTCCATACTCTAATTACTCACAATTCCTCATTTCTGATTTCTTATTTATTTATTTTACTCTGAAATTTTGTTTAATTGATCGTTTCATAACCGTAATTGTTTCTTTTCTTTTCTATTTTTTTCTCTTTATTATTCCATTTCCTCTTTTAATTTGTCACTTAATTAGAAATTTCTTTTAATTTCTAAATTCGTATCTCATCATAGTCCAATTAATCTCAGTCTTTTCGGTCTATTTTCTAGTTTCGTCTTCTCATAAATTTTTAATTACTTAGGTTCATTGGTCATAGGTTTGGGTTCTGTTCTTCATCAAAAATCGAATCAGTATCCGTTCAAATTTTAAAATACTATAATTTAATGAAATACGTACAATTTTTAAAATTCAAATCCAGTTGAAAATTAGAAATACTTAATCTCCTACGCGTCTTCCCATATATGCCAGAAAGTTTTAATTTTCTTTACGCACACAATATAATTTAATTAATATACTTTTAAATACTAAACAAAATTAATTTAATCGGAATTATGAGTTTCAATGACAACCCGATAGAATATCCAAAATTATCAAAATCCGTACCCGAAAAAATCTTTCGGCTTCCTGTTTGACGAACTGGATTTTTATTTTTGATGAAGACTTTTTAGCTTCCCGAATGGCAAATTGAAATCCCAAAAGGGCAATTATGGCTTCCATTTATGTGGAAGACCCTTCAGCTTCCACGGGTGAGTGGTTTTTTCATTCTTGAGGAAAACTCCTCAGTTCCCGCACGGGTGGGTGACTCAGTTGAGCTCGAGTGGCCAGCCCGACATCAGCCTGCTCCGCTGCCGCTCAATAACCACCAAAACACGAAAAGAAAAACTATTTTACCTTTCGGCGTGGGCGATTCGGCCTTGGTTTGGATCCCCCTGGTCTTCTTTCAGTCACCCCGTGGTTATCTAGCTCATTTGCTATTCAAATGGTGATTTCTCAAACCTATAAACTGATTAGTAAGCACAATAAAAAGATTCCGAAGAAATAGGAGAATAAGAACGAAAAGAACGAAGCTTTACCTTACTCGCATCGGTCTCTGCCTTCGCACGACGTCTTGCCCATTTTCCCTTCCTTCTTCTTCCTTTCGACTTTGACTTGCACACTGTCCCGCCTCCACCACTCTCTCTCTTCTTTTCTTCCCTTGCGATGGCCGTTCTCGACTCTCCTTCTCTTCCCGCTCGGCCACTCCTCTCTTTTCTTCCTTTTCCCTTTTTTTTTCCTGCCTCCCTCTTCTTTCCCTCTCTCTTTTCTCCTTCTCGGCTTTCCTCGCGCGACAGTCTTCTTATTCCTCATTCCCCGATCGGCTCCTTTATAACCGTTCATCTCAATCGTCGGATTTCTCTGACTCGATCTGGACCGTCTGTTCTCTTTTTAAATTTCAGCCATCTGATATTCTCAAACGGTCCAATTTGAGCTGTCCATTTTTTTTTTTATTTTTTTTGCCCCCTTTTACTTTCACTTATTTATGTTTTAACTCTTCTTTTTCTTAAGTTCTTTCATTTAGGTCTTCAAAATTAAATAAAAACCCTTAAAATTATAAAAAAAAAATTCATTTAAATCCTAAGTCTAATTTTATTGATTTACTTCATATTTCTTTTATTTTCTTTAGGTGGACGTTACACCATGACCCGGGCTCCACTGGGATGTATCTAAGTGACAAATGGCCACGCCATGGTTGATCTTCTCCGTACTAGTCGGGTCCAAGATACCCGCCTCGTAGACTCGAACTTTGGGAACAGAGTGGCAGTAGTATAGCAGGTAAGGGTACAGGCTTTGGTGGCAGGAAACAGACTAGGTGATCCTTCCACTTTTGATTCCTTTGACTGACCCGGTCATGATCTGCTGCTTTGACCCCTTTATGTTCTCTATGGTGCGAACCGATATGCTATGTCCTAAAACGGAGGTGGCAAAATCGATGAGGTCCTCAGCGGATCCTACACAACGTTTTGTTTCGCCAGGGCTTGGTGCTCTCTCGCACTCGTTTAATGCGTTCGTAATGACGTTCTTCATGGATGAGTTATCAGCCGCATGAAAGATTTGTTTCAACTCGCTGAGTTTAGAGGTGGAGAATGGTATTTTCAACAGAATGCTCCGAGGCAAAAATGATCTTCTCGGCATTTTATCTTCAATGTCCGGCATCTGCATCACAGTTCCTTCCTTGACCATTGATTCTCGGAAGTCCGGTTCCACCAACCTTTTTACTAATTTCCCATTGGCCGTTGTCGTTGCTTGAGCAGGGGTGATATTGTATCTTTTGAAACTGATACCAGTTTTGCTGTAACTCTTGAAAGTCGTAATGTCTCCATAGGTCTGAAACCCTACTTTGGGTTTATCAGATCCCTCACCATAACTGATGAAATTGTCTCTACCAGTGTTGGCATAAGTTTTAAAATCGACATTAACGTTACTAGACTTCTTGCCATAAGAAGTAAATGTATTATCAGCAACATTAGTATTTTCTATGTAGGAAGAAGCTTTCAACGCTATCTTTTCCATCAGAGGCGTAATTCTTGAAAATCTGCTCGAACGAATTACCGTCCAAACCATAACTCGTGAAAAATTATCGTTTACATTGTTCCCGTTCTTCCTGTAAGCAGTAAATCCTGAGCCGACAACACTGGCGTCCATGGAGTAAGTGGTGAACATATTATGCAGTTCTTTTCCATTCCTCCCGTAATCGGAGAAAATTTGGGCACCTACGTTGGAAGAGATCGAATAAGTCTTGAACGACTGAACCCGCCCATTGGAGCCATCTGAATAGGCGAAGAATCGACTGTTCGGCCGGTTTGTGTCTTGTTGGTAGTTTTTGAATCCGCTGGAACCGCCGGTTGCCTTGGAACCATAAGTCTTAAAGCTCTGGTGAGGTTAGCCGTTGCTTGGGGCGTAATTGGAAAATTTATGTCCATGTCCTGTAGAGCTGCGACTGTATTGGTGGAATGAGTCGATTGAAACCTCTTGGTGATCGGAGTAGCTCTTGAAGGAGTTGAAGCCGCCGGATCGACCAGAACCGTACTTTTTGAAGTCCTTTTAGGTGTAATTAATGAAGCTGGAGTCGGATATTTGGTTCTGGAGGCTGGAGAATAAATCGGGGAAGAAAAAGAGGTTTGCGGATGAACAGAATGCTGAGAGTTGAGTGGAAAGCTCGTTTTGCTCTGCAAGCTTAGCAAAAGTTGCAGAGTCCAGGGCAGACAATGGGGAAGCCTTAGAGAGGAGGGAGGAGGATTTGGGGGGAATGAAGATTGAGTATCGAATGAGGGAAGCTTTGGGGGTAAATGGGTTTTTCTCAGTCAATAAACGGACAGGGACATGTCTGGCTTGACCAAGATTTACCTGTGCATTAATATGGCAAAAGACAATCAAGAGAGAGAGTCGAAATTATATAAATCGGGATGCAGATGGTGAAGTGTGAAATCATGGGAAATAGAAAAGGCAAATGGAGAATTTACTTACATTGATGAAGAAGAAGAAGATGCGAGTGAGGTGATCGAGCATTTCCATTTTTAGTGGAGAAGGCCACAGTGCTTGGGGGGGTGTGGACAAGTTTTCATGATTCCAATATCCTAAATAATTATTGGAAACTTCCAACTCTCATTCCGCTAAAACGTTTTCTTCCTTTTTATTATTATTCTACATTTGTGCATCTCTGAATTTTTACATATTTCTTAATATATTTTTATAATCACACTCCATAATTAAGGAGAGCATCTGCATTACTTGCTTAAACTATTGAATTGAAAGATCCTATTCACACTTCAAATTAAGGGTTATTCTCGTCAATTCATCACTTCAATTAGCTGCAACTGTCCAAGTCAAGTCATTCTCAAATATCCAATGACAAACTTCGATATGACCCGGACCCGAACCCAACGCCATGAAGGCTCCATGACTGGGGCTCCACTGAGATGTATCCAAGTGACAGATGGCTACGCCCTGGTTAATCTTCTCCTTACTATTCGGATCCAAAATTTCCGCCTCGTAAACCCGAACTTTGGGAACGGAGTGGCAATAATATATTAAGTATGGGTATAGGCTCTGGTGACATGACACCGATTTGGTCACCTTTCCACCGTTGATTCCTTTGACTGAACCGATCATGATCTGCTGCTTAGACCCTTTAATATTCTGTGTGGTTCGGATCATGATGTTACGACCCAACATGGAGGTGGCGAAATCGATGAGGTCCTCGCCGGATCCGACACAGCGTTTCGTCTCGCCGGGACTTGGGCCCCTCTCGCACTCCCTCAATGCGTCCGTAATGATGTTCTCCATGGACGAGTTATCAGCCGCATTAAAGATTTGCTTCAACTCACTGAGTTTCGAGGTGGAGAATGGGATTTTTGAGAGAATGCTCCGAGGCAAAAATGATCTTTTTGGCATTTTATCTTCAATGTCCGGCATCTCCATCACAGTTCCTTTCTTAAGCATTGATTCGCGGAAGAATTTTCCCGGTTCCACCCACCTTTTTACTGATTTCCCATTGCCCGCCGCCATTGTTGGAGCAGAGCTGACGTTGTATCTTTTGAAACTGAGACCAATTTTACTGTAACTCTTGAAACTAGTTCTGGACCCATAGGTCTTAAACCCCACTTTGGGTTTATCAGCTCCCTGACCGTAACTAATGAAATTGTCTACACCAGTATTAGCATAAGTTGCAAAGTTAACCTTTTCATCATTCGAATTCTTGGCATAAGAAGTGAAATTATCATCAGCAAGATTCGTTTGTTCTACGTAGGAGGAAAACGTTTCAACGCCAGAATTTCCACCAGAGCCGTAGTTGTTGAAAACGTTCACCATCAAATTGCTCTGAAATCCATAACTGGTGAAATTATCGCTTCCCTCGTTCCCATTCTGTCCATACCCAGAGAATCCAGACCCAACTACGTTAGTCCCCGGCGAATAGCTAGTGAACGTGTTCGGTACTCCGTTCCCGTTCCTCCCATAACTGGAAAAAATTTGGCTACCTGCATTTGAAATTTGAGAATACACCTTGAACGACTGAGCCCGCCCGTTGGAATCGCCTGAATAACCGCTGAATCGACTGTTCGGCACGTTTGTATCTGGTTGGTAGTTCTTGAATTCACTGGAACCGACGGTTGCCCCTGTTCCGTAGGTGTTGAAACTCTGGTCGGGCACATTGGTGCTTGGAGCATAGTTAGAAAACCGGTCGTCGTGTCCGACAGAGTTGCGGCTGTATCGCCGGAACGAGTCGATGACGACGTTTTCATTATCGGAATAGTTCTTGAAGGAATCGACGCCGCCGGGTCGGCCATTGCCGTAGTTGTTGAAGTCCTTCTGAATATATTTAGCGAAGTTGGAATCAGAGTTGTGTTTCTGGAGACTGGATGATAAATCAGGGAAACAGAAAAGATTGGCCAAGGAGCAAAATGCAGGGAGCTGAGTTGAAAGCTTGTTTTGTGCAGCCAGCTTAGTGAAAGTGGCGGAATCGACGACATTAAGTGGGGAGACCTTAGAAAGGAGGAAGGAGGAAATAGGAAAGTTGATATGAATTTCTTTATTCCAGTATCGAACGACGAAAGCCTTGGGGGTAAATGGGTTTTCCTCAGCTGATAAATTAACTGATAATCGTCGACCTCCAGCGAGATTAATCTGCATGGTGATTTCAACCCATCAATGAATAAATAAAAAAAGAGTGATGTAAATAAAAAAAAAGAAAGTAATAATAATAACAGCAGAATTATAACTTGCTTACATTGAGAGATGATAAGAAGAAGAGAGAAAAGAAAAAGAGGGGTTTGCTCATTGTTTTTCTTCTTCTTCTTCTTTTTGGCTGTGGGTGAGAATGAAAGATATACCTCTATATATACATATGGAGGGAGATATTTTCAAACTTGTTTTTAAAGGTTTGAACTCTGCAATGCAATCAGTGAGTGATAAGGGTGTAAAAAAAGGAGGTTATTCTATTGCCATCCAACCAGCCAAAATAGTATTTTTTTTAATTTTTTGGAAAATAATTCATATCATCGTAAACTTGTTATTATTAAATTTAATAAATTAGAGATTTCTAAAAAGAACAAATTAAATCAAAGGTTAAAAATTTTTATGATAGGAAGAAAGTTTGAGTTAAAATTTCCTTTTTTTTCTCCTGGATTTTGGTAATCCTAAAAATTGACGAGAGGAATTGAAGTTTAAAAAAAAAAAAAAAAAAAAAGAATCACCCACAGGTAATCTGCAGATTTTAAGAAAAAATATAAAATCGCATACGTTCGGATGACATCAATCAATCGTAATAAACACCAGATTTCTCTTCTTATTACTTCAATGATAGGACAATATCTCTTTCTCTTCTTTCTTTTCTTCGTTTACTTTTTTCTTTTATCGTGTTTTTTATTATTTAATAAAAGTGAGGGGTCCTGCGAAATAAATCATGGGTGCATGTCACCCCACTCTCACCAATCCATACACATCACATATCATATATATTTTATATGCATATACGTAATGCCTTTTAACTCTTAATTTATTTTGTGCACAACTAAACCACTCATCCAAGAAATGATGGTTCTATCATGTCATGTCATGTCATTCAGATTCCTTTTTGTCATCATATCCACATTCCTACTTTCAACTCTCTCTTACTGCCCATCACCATTTATTAGTCATTACCATAATCATCAAACATCTCATCAAATTCACCTTCCCCTTCTCATTCCAAATACAACTAAATAATCACTGTGAATTCTCTTCCTTTCTTCCCCATGAAAGTACAAAACCATAACTTCTGACACTTTCTTGTCTTAAATTCTCACCCCATTCTGACTTTAGCCTATATTTCTGCAGTTCATCTTGATTTTGACCTACACAAACATTAAATTTTCTATCTCATCTCACTCGTCCCCAAGAGATTCAAGATGGACTGACGAGAAGATCAAACATAAAAGTTATATTCCACTTCTACTCATTAAAACTAAAAGAAAAACTATGAACTAAACCAAAAACTCAAACTGCCATCTGCAATTGTTCTACATCTCAAATTTCAACAAAGGGTCTCACGCAGGCAAACTAGACCTTATTCTTTTACCTCAGAAAACTCTCTGGCCTTTCAAAATCTACTTCTCTATAGTTCAAATGAAAAAATAACCCCACATACCCCCATTGTAGTTTTAAACTCTCATCCCTCTAAAAGATACTCTACTCAATCAAATCCAACTCCTCTCCGTCCTGTTCAAATTCTCCTAACCTATACATTTTTGCATTTCAAGATTTTAGTAATGTGATGGCAAAGTAAAACTAACAAAATAGTGGAAGATGTAAGAATCACATTAGGTTCCACAGAGTACAATACTTCTTTATAACATTAATATTCTGAAGTATAATCTACCAGGCAAAGGACACCTACAGTCCAAAATAAATAACTACTAACAAAGCAAAAACCAGGTTCCAAAAGCCAGCTGCTTTAACTCATTAATTTACAGCCATCCCTATCTGTTTGGAGGTTCAACCAAAAGGTTCCACTGGATCTGCTGCAAAGGTAAGAAGCCGCTTGGGCAATACTAGCTTCCAGATTTCATCTTCCTAAAAATGAACTTCACGAGCACTTTGCACATGGGATACCCCATAAACAACATTAATATGCTTTGCTGGAGTTGTTTTTATTCTTGGATCACAATGTAGCAGAGAAGTGTGCAGCATCCAGAAAGTCACTCTTCAATAACATTGACAAGCTCATATTCAATTAGGGAAAGGTTGTTATCTTCCTTCACAGTGAAGTTGGCAGGTTCCGTGACTTCCACCCTACCCCACTTGTCCACAGCAAGTCTCATTGATCCTTTAAACATGTCAATTTTTGCATTGCGAAGTGTAACTGTTGTACCTTCTTTCATCAAGTCCACTAAACAAGAAGAACGATATCAATTATATTCAACCATATCTAGAAAACCTAAAGCAGAAACATATAAAATTAGAAAACAATTCAAGATACATGGTTCCAGTGCATTCATGACCAAAAATAATAAATTTATTTATGCTAAATTTTACAGGCATAACTTTTAGAACCACATTTAGCAGGTAGATTAAAAGCCAACTCAGAATATTCCTAGTCCATTCATGACTAAAAATTGCACATAAAAATGTCAGCCAACATCCTTAAACAATCAATTATTCATGTATTCTATATTAAATTTTTTATTTAGAGAGGGCTTCAAGTTCTCAGGAAGAGCAAACAAGAAGCATGTGACCATTCATGTAAAACTATTGGCATTCACCATCTGAAATATTTAGAGCACATCCTTTACTAGAAAAAACTAGGAAATGAAGAGTAAACAAGATTAAAAATTACGTTGTCAAGATATTGCCTCAAAGAAACTACAAAAAGATATCTGATGATTATTTTCTCCTATCCAAAACCTGTAGGTTGACCAATGAACATCTAAAACCAGCTTGTTTTTTCCATTGTGTTTAGAAGTGTTGTGTCCCCGACAGGTCGACTTATACAGCCAGACAGAATCAGATGGGAAGTTATTGAATTGGGCAATGTCACTGTTTTGTAGTTGTTGTAGAGCATTTATCGCTCAGATCTGAAAGCCTACAGTAACAGCCATAATACATGCTGGCCTAAAACATCTACCATCATACTGCATTATATATACAAATTTGTTGCAAATCGATGAGCTTTCAGTGTTATATTTGTTCTTGAGCAACCCTTGACTCGAAATCACTTAATTGAGGGGGTAAAACTTCTAATTTTCTTCTTGTATTAGTTGGGTTTTTGTAGAAGGTGGGGAAACTTCTTAATTCCCTTTTATGACAAGAAAAATACTTTGTATACTGAGTGAGGCATCTTGTCAACTAGAAAGAGCAAAGAAACCAAGTTTCTAGTGGAAAATTCTCAAATAGGAGAGCTTGAAGAGACAAAGTATTCACTGATTATGGGTCAAACCTCTATAAATAATATTTGCTATTTCTCTTCCCTGTGTCCATTAATCTTATTGTTATATTTAAATTCTTTTTGCAGAGAGAACAGCGCTTGCCACATTAATGTTTGTTTGAATGATTTAAGTTCTTTTTTCTTAAAGGAGAGTACAAAGAGACCAGGGGACAAGTTATCCAGCCAAGGAAACAATGACAAAGTAACAGAACAAAATAAAGTAAAGCAAGTAAAAGGAAAGTCTGATATCATATCACGTAACAATGACATGCCAACTCCTATGTAAAACAGACAAAGATATATATGAACAATTCCCATGAGACTTAGCCCAGAGGGAACCCAAAGATGTTGTTTTCTCACACAGAATTGGATCCAGAAAAGAACGATTACCAAAAATGTGATGATTTCTTTCCAGCCAGATCATCCATAACCCAGCGAAGAGCACACCTTTCAATATCTAACCTTGGCCTTAATCCTAAATCCACTAATGCTGGACATAAAAAAAGATTTGATTGAAGGGGAGCAACGCAAGCCAAATTGAAAGTGTCAAACAACTAACACCGTACTTTCCACGCCATCTCACAATGGAGAAACAGGTGGTTATGTATCTTGCTGCTCCTATGGCACAGCACACAAATGTCAGGAGACAAGGCTCGGTTAGGTCTATGAATTTGCAGTAGCTCCTTAGTGTTCAACTGATTTGGAATCGCTGTCCAAGTGAACACTTAACCTTTGAAGGAACCTAAACATGCCAAAAAGTCTTGGTAAGCTTGTTGTGGTAAGAATTAGGGTTTT